CCCCAAAACCCCAAAACCCCAAAACCCCAAAACCCCTAATTAAAAAATTTAGGCTGAAGGAAACCTGACGAAATGGCATTCCGTTTGGATTTTACTTTATGAAAATTAGTTATACAAGCTCCAAGTGTCTTATGGAGCCCAACTGAGTAGCCCACTCAGGTCATTCAAAGACTCAAGCTTTAGTTCATCTCCGAAATTATGAAGGGGATTCGAGTAGGATACGAAGGAGTTATTTCAGAAATTAGCAGGGAAAGTGCTAGAAAATGTGTCTTTCACTCCTGACGAAAAATAAGGGAAGAGGTTGTTGGCGTACAACGGAGTTCTATCAAGGTCATGGTAGTAAGATGTGTCTTCAGGGATGCCCAGAGGTTGGGTACCTTCGTATTTCTTCTTAGAATTATCTCATCTTCGGTTCTCTTCGGTACCGATCTGATTCACAAACGCTAAGTCACTGGATATATCATAACCGATTGAACACCCGACTCCTTTACCTTCGACTATTGCGCCTTCTGACCACTCCTCGGAGTCGAGTGATGAGGCTCCCTTGCTACTCTCACGGTTAGAAATCGATGATTGCAGAGTATTCTCAGAAACTCAACAGTCCTCTTTCTTCTTTCTATCTGAAGAATTAGTTTGGGCAAAATTTAAATTCCTCTTTGCCTCTAAGGCCAGATTTTGAATGGGAATCCTATCATTTAACAGTTTGTCTAAATCTGACTGCCTATCGTATTTAAGACTTCTCTCAACGAGTTGATCTCTGACATGATCATAGACAATTTTAGCTTCCTCAGAAAGGGTTTCTTCCTCATTCTCATCTTCTGGAAAAAGATTGGATACAACCTTATTAAGGTCATCATAATCGATTTTCTTATATAAATCGTCTTGCTGAGTGACATACTTCATATCAATAACTTTCTCCTGCGGGGTATGCAGATTGAGCCTTCTTCTCTTTTCATAACCCCATTTGTAGATTTGTTTTTCGCTCAAGTGGACCATCTCTTTGACATAAAGAATTGTGGGTCTGCTCCACTCTTGATCTAGCTCAAAGTAGCATTCGAGTACTTCTCTCTCGTTGAGAGTCTTCCATCTCTTCCTGTGAGTGTTATTTTTAATGTCTAATCCACTTGCAATATTAAGACTGTTTATAAAATCAGTGTTAGAAGCTTCTTTGGTTTTAAGCTTTCTTTTAAGACCACAGCCAAGCTTTGAAGCTCGGATTTGGCTCTGAGATAGCTTAGACAGAGCCTTCTTGGCATTCTTCTTAGCCCTCCTTGACTTTCCACCTCTAGGGTTTGGGATAGATTTAATCATGATCTTTGAAATTGAATTGTTAATAATTTTAAAACGACCTGGGTTTAAATAGTTTCAGTCTTCACGTTGAGTCTAGGGGTTTTGGGGTTTTGGGGTTTTGGGGTTTTGGGG